GTTGCAAAGATTATTATTTTATTGCTTCAAATTTGAATGTTATATGCATTTTTAACAACAAATATATGTTTTAATATTATATGAAACATAAATTTATATATTTAAAAATGAAAAATTAAATATTTTTAAAATGTAATTGATATATCCAAATTAAATTTAATATCAAGAAATCATAAATATTATGATAAGCTATTTGCTTACTTATTTATTTTCACTTATTTGTGAACGAATCAATCTACAGAAGCATTTGAATGCAATCAAAATACAAAGTGAATTTGTAATTTTATAAGAAGTATTTTATATTAAGTTTATAAGAAGAGATCAACCAAATAAGTTTATATTGAAAAACAACTATTGTTATTAATTATTGTTACTTAAATTAAATTATTTTCGTTAAATATTTAATATAAATATATATTAATATTATAATATATTAATATACATTAATAATGATAAAAAGTATGACATTTGTTGTTATTAAATGATAGAATTCACTAAAAGTATATAAATATGTAATAAATAAAATAATTTTGTGATAAAAATGATAAATGAGGTTTATCTATTGTCAATACATTGGTCATTCTCATTTACACCTGAAAAAATAGCCAAAAAACACAATTTTTGTAACTGGGCGGGGCTACCCGACACATTTTGAAAAGAGCTGAAAAACATGTTTTTTTAAATTTCTATTTTTTTAAGTTTAACTATTCTTTTTTGGGTTTATTCTTTTTGCATTATTTAATTGGATGATAAAACAATAGAAACATACAAAAAAGTTGATTATTACTCAGTATTATACAGAAATATAAGCAATACTCCTTAAGTGAGTGGGGCTACCCGACTCTCCCCTATACATTCATTTTTTACATAAAATCTGTTTAAAAAAAACTTAAACTTAAGAAAATACAAAGTGTCTACGCTTAGGTTAACAATAATCAAAAAATTAATCTTTAATGAAGTGATTCTACACTAGACGTGTAGACCTACAGCGACCGCGGAACCGGGGAGGGCCTCACATTTTATAAATGAGGAAACACAGCCCGTTCTAACATTCCAATTTTTTACTCGATATTTGCATAATTAAATTTACAATTAAAAAAACACATATAATTTTTTTGTATCTGAATTCTAAAAAAATTTCTCTATTTCAAACGAGCTTTAACATTTCCTTGGTGAAAACTGCTATCAAATCATTCCTTACTCAATCTCACCCCCCGCAGAAGGAATACACGATCTTATTGATTTCTTTATTAATTTTTATTTCGATTTGAAGACAATTCGATTATTGAAGTTAATATTGCAAGTTCGAATTCTCGATTACCATAATGTGAGCTTCAGATAATTCGGATACGTTTAATAATAATAATAATCTGTACATAGGGTGAGGAGGAGGAGAGAGCCCCACCCCCTCTCTTGACATATTTCTGCTGTCACTGTAGGCCTAACATTTTTTTACGTCAGAGATCGACTTCTGAGTTTTAGAAGTTATTTCCCCAAAAAAATCTGGTTTATTCTTCCAACAATCACTTGATTACACTAGAAGGCTAGTACACTCTTCATTTTGGGACGCATCTGAATTTACTCTTAATCGACCATAAAGCCAAACCGTAAATATTTTGCTTTATCCAAGCTTTATCTTTGATCTCAATCTGAACAAAACCCGACTTTGAAGGGTGCGAAAAGGTTTCAACTTACGCAAAACAGAGATCGTTACGTGTAGTACCAGTTAAACATCTTTCCTTTCTTCGAAGATCTCCTCAATATGAGGCCACTATAAGGTAAATATTTAATTCAAAAATGAAACAGTTAATTGGCTACGCTCCATTCTCGTTGTGTATTGGGAATTTGATTTGGAAAATGTGTAAGAATCTATGTACAGCATGCATTAATGGCTTTCAGATTGACCGAGTTTTTTGCGGATCTATAAATTTCTTCAATCAGGTTATCATTCGCATCTTCTTTGTAAACGCTTGATTCTCTCAGTAGTGATTTCTTTCAAAGTTCTTGTGCGATAGCCCTAGACGCACTCGTGAATGTTTAAAAGTCATTCCTCTGCTATGTTGCTGAGGCACTTCCAATCGTTATTGAGGGAATGTGAAAACGTAATTGGCGATCGCAACACTCGAATACGCCATCTGGGGAGAGACCGGTTTCATGCCTTTAGCCCTTCTCCCTTCCCTCTCCTCCTCTTTTCAGTTGTATAGGAATGTACTACGATATTTTTCCTTTTCTTAATATTTTTCCTTTTTATTCAATAAAAATATTTTTTAAAATTCCCGTGATACTTTTCCTTAGAACTATGTTTAATGCAGTTTTCTGTTCCATATAGTTTTCCAACTCAAAAGATTTTAATCTATATGAAAATCAAGAGAGAGACTAACGTACTTCCTTCCTCTATGACTTTCCACACGCTAATGGGGAAAGCATGTGAAGTGTTGCCATAGGTAGAGAGTTCTGCTCGACGCCACCAGCAACCTATACTTCTGTATTATTGTTTCCAGTGTATTTTAAAGCCAATTGGCTCTCAACGTGATCATTGTGTTTTGAGATTCTTGCAAACGCGGTATTTGATTTGAAGTGTTTTGGTATGCTGCAACGCCTTGATCTAGATGGCGCTGCAGATTACTTATTACTTGTGTTTACAATGCTAACAATACTTGTGGTTACAATGCTAAAGGTGCTAGCACTAACGTACGTAAGATGGTGCACAGCTTGCAACAAGAACAGACAGTAAAAGAGGCCAAATCAGGACTGCCAAAAAAGCGAATTATTCAACATCTAGCAACCATGTCACCTTTTTTTAACATTATATATATAAATAATTAGAACAAATTTTCTCTTCAAACTCACCAGAATTTTTTAACATCATTAATATTTTATGAAATACGGCAGATTTGAGCTCAGAAATCATTTCATTTACGTCTTTTATTGAAAACAAAATTATCCGTTTGAAAATATCGCCTCGCAGAATAAGCTGTAGTAAGCAGTTGCGAACTTTCTAACAGGAACTAGAGCAGGTATTAAGCTCGAAATTGGTATTGTTTACATTTATATTGAAAACACCATCCATAAGGTTTTTGTTTTCTAACGACATTTTTTCATACAGTGAGAATGCTCAATAGATATGATTTAAGTGCTGATGACACTAGGCAACCAAGTGGAGGCAACTAAGTTAAGAAACCGGTTTTTAGTTTCTCGTTTGTGATCACACGTTGCAACCTTCGCTTGTTCAACCAACTCTGAACACTGGTATTGGACTATTATAGTATCGACCAACACTGGTATTGGACTATATACCAGAACTTCCAATACCAGAACTTATATTTTTCAATAAAGTTTATTGCTAGAAGCACTTTTAGTTATCATGGAAGCGATTATTGACGATGTACTTGAAGTAGGCGTTGAGCTGATAGCTGATGAGGTTCTGAAAGAAGAACTAGAACAGAAAAAAGGTGATTTAAGAGCAAAATAATTTCTTTCGTTTGCTTTCAAAATTTCATTAGTATTCGGAAATATCTATCAAAATCTGTCAAAATGAGTTTAAAAAGCTTAGCGTTAAAGCAATATAATTTTGAATTTTCAAATATTTAAACATTTGTAATTAGTAATATGCTAGTTTTTTTTCCATTCACTTTTAAAATTCAATAATAATTTGTGACTTTTAATATCTCCACAGAGGAAATTAGTTTATAAGGAATTAGTTTATTCGCATAATCTTTGTTATTTATGTCCCAAAGACAAGGATACGTTTGAAAAATTAAAAAAAAAAAAACATATATCACTAGAATTCCATTTAAAACTAGTCATAGTTAGAAGATTAAACCAAGTTCAAATTTAAAAGATAAAAATTCAGGATGCGTCAGAATCAGCACATGTATTTTGTTTACTAAATGGTTGCTAGTTAAGGTTGAAAGTATTTGGAAACTACTATATGACACGTTTCAACTAATCTGGTTGCTCCACTGAATTTGAAAGGTTTTAACTTCAGTTGCTAGTTGAAAGCAGGTTGAAAGCAACCGGGAAACCATCATATGACGTGCTTCAACTTCACCGAAGCAGCTAGTTGCTTTCAACTAGGTTGCCTTGTGTCATATAGCCTCGCGTGCACGAGCAATTCCTCCTTTGGATCATTTTCACTGCATGCGATTCCCAACTGCAGTCGAAAGCGATTCGTGCATGCGTGAGAAGTTCGCATTAAATGTCGTTTCTAAAAACTCGTATGTGCATCTTGGGCAATCGCATACAGTGTGAATGCTTCCTTAAGTTTCTAAGCATTTGCATGATGTAAGACAATCGAATGCTGTAAGAAGGGAACCTTAAAACGATTGTTAAAAACATAAAATATTCATTAGGTTCATGCATAATTGGTTCTTTGAGTATTAGTATGTATTCTGTTCTCGTATTCGCGTACGTATAGGTAGTTTTTCTTGTGGTACACTTTCACAACATGCGATTTGCATATGTATTCATGCGTCAAAGCAATTTGCACATGCACGGGCAGTTGCCTCAATATTTAAAGTAAGTCCTTACTGAATGATATTTTTTTTGCATGCAAGCAGAAACTGTTATTAACGAATTTTCCACAGTTAAATATTTTTCTTTTCTTACAGTCACTCGAAAAAATTTCGATATTTTTCCCCCAGTGAGAATGGTCCTTGATGTTTCCAAAGATTTGCACGCGCTAGCAGTGAAGGCTCTCTTTGATGTAGTTTTTCTAAGTACTCACACAAATTCAGTTAAATCAAATGATCATGTGTTTCAGAAAACTGTGACTATTTCGTTTTTATGCGTGTTTCACTCATAGTGTATAACTCGTTTTTAATCTTTCTAGGTTCTAAATAGCAACTATTTTCTTAACACTCGCACGTGCGTGAATAGAATACATATGCAGTGAAAATGGTCCCTCATCTTCAAAATCATGAGTTAATTTTAACCATTAGGTGCAAATTATTAGAAATAAGTTAGTTATTTAAAAACTTTTGACAATTTTATAAGGTCAAGAAACAAAATTATTGGGCTCAGTTCAAACAGAGCTATATGCAAGCTGTTTGTATCTCATGATAATCAATCAAGTTTTAAACGCCTTTATCTTTCATCCTGATTGGTTTAGTTCAGTGGTTTTGACGTATGACGTATATTTTGGCGCATATCTTAGCAATAAAGAAAGCTGGAAAGAATTTAATGTGTCTATCCCTTTCTGTAGATTCACGTCAATTGTTTGTTTACTTTATTATAGACGGTCGTCAGCTGTCAGCCATACAATATTGAAAGAATGCTGTCGTGATGTGAAGCCATATGTAATAGATATTCTACATTTCATCCATTATCTTCTGGATAGCATTTATTTCTAAAATCGAAAGCATGATTGAATGTGTATCTTGTTTTTAAATTGTTCTTCTCAACATGAGTTATAAATATACGAAAAATGAGTTTGGCAAACGCGGCCGTACTGACGACGATTCGGATGATGAATCTGAAGAAGATTGCAGTAAAAATATTTTTAAATATTTGATGTTCTATATTTTTCCATCTAACGTAGGAGATGGTCGTCGCAAGGTGTTACACAATCTAATAAAAAAACATGGGGGTAATTTTACTGAAGTTGTTACAAATCATACAACTCATGTGCTGGTTGATGAATCGGTATCTTGTGGGAAAATATGTAGGGCTTTAAGTTGGACAACATTTCCACCGCACATCAGTGTGGTTTATATAAATTGGTTGAGTGATTGTGTTCGGGCTGAATATTGTTTAAAAACATCTGATTACCAAGTGCCAAATAACCATAAACCTACTTACGTTATTACTTGTGCTAATTCTGCAACTTCTAAAAATAGTCCCGACACTCATTATATTAAAACAAAAAGTCAGAGTAAACTTAAACATTCCAAACAGCCTCGGATAGTTGAAGTCATTGAGGCTGACATGTCAAATATAGAATCAGTCGAAGAAGAAGAATCAAGCTTTGATGATGGAGTTTATGAAGGTGAAACATCATGTGATGATGAGTGGTTGTACTCTGTGCCATCTGAAGCTTTGAATATGATTATTCCACCCTCTTTTACTAGCATGGATCAAGAAAGTAAAATATCTCTTTCTATTTCAAATTCAGATACACCTGAAAATACTGGAACTTTAAAGTTAAGACTTTATCGACATAAATCTTCTGATCAGGGCTATGAGTACTCAAGATACAGTACAGTAAACCAAACTGATCCTATTTCTTCCAAGCTAGATTCATCTGCATCAAACTCTATAAATGAAGAAAATCAACTTAAAGTGCTTGAATTATCAAATATGACATCAAAGGAAGAAAAAGAAAAAACTCCTCCTTGTCCAGATGAAACTAAAAGTGGTACTACAGAGTCTGTTTTGATCAAACTGCAAAATGTCAACATGGAACATAATGTGGTTGATAACAATTGTCTGAATAGTGAAATTTTGAAAACAACTAAAGAAAATGACAGCAGTAAATTATGCACTAACGTAGCTACTTCTTCTATGAATGTTGTTGTAAGTTCAACTAAGGAAAATGTTGAAACTAATTTAAATATTAGTGACCCAAGTATTGATACTAGTTTTAGTTCTGCAATAAAGATTTCAAACAATATTCACAGTCCAGATTCTCTTGAATTAAAACATTCATCGCAGGAAAATGAGGCATTTAAATTGTCGCCATCGTCCAAATTTGATTCAAACAAAGATTTATCAGATCGATCGAATTTGGCAGTGTCTCCTATAGTCACATCATCTTCCAGTAATATAAAAAATACAGATGATAATTTAATGGAAAGAGTAATATTAACTGATAAATCTATATCTCCTTCAAAATGTGGTTTAAATTCTGCTATTGAATCGGAAAAAGGTAATTCTTGTAGTATAGCCGACACAAAAGAAGTTCATGTTGTTGAGTTGGATTTGTCATGTAAAAAACCTAAACCTGGGAGAACAGAAAGTAAATTTCTTAACACAAATGCTTGTGAACTTTATGAAACTCAAGATTCTAAAATTTCTTCAACTACTGAAAATATTGAATCTTCTAACTTGCTGCAAAAGGAAAATTCTTCTCCACTTCCTGATGGTAATGTATTAAAAGACATAGGTTTTGACAAACTCCCTTCACCTAATGACTCTTGTGAATCTAACAGTGTGTTAGAAGCAATTGAAGTCGTTACAAATAATTCTTCAATTCTTTCAGAAGAGAGAATTAATAATTGTTCAACTCTTTCTGAAGGAATAACTAGTGATTCTTCAACTCTCTCGAAAGTAATAACTAATGATCCTACAACTCTTTCTAAAGTAATAACTAATGAATCATCTACTCATTCCAAAGTAATTACTAATGATCCTTCCACTCTTTCTAAAGTAATAACTAATGATTCTTCAAAATCTCTTAATGTTGAAGTTATTGTAAAGAAATTATCAAATATTAATGAAAAAGATAAGATTCTCGCTTCTAAAGATTTAAAAGTTGGTAGTTCTGTTAGTCGTGATAAAATTAATAATCGCGATAATCTATTGCCAAATAACTCAACAGAAACATTAAGTTTGACATTGTCATTAGTTTCAGAGTTGGTTAACAGAGCAGCAGATACTGAGTCAATTCGTTTGGCAAAAAGTGATTGTTTGATTTTGCCAGAATCTGATGATCAAAGCACAAGTGATACAGTTAACTCATCTAAAAACGATGAAATCAACAAGAATGTAACTCATGATAACACATTTTTAAAAGCTTTTATAGACACCACTGATATGAAGTCTAATTTACAAAAAAAGGTTTTAACAACATCAATTTCTGAACCAATGGAGATTAGTACACCATTAAACATGTCTGATTCTTCGAAATCTTCACTTGAGTCAGTAAAAGAACCATTAGTTGATCCAAAAAGTAATACAAGTGTACTTGTAATTGATGGTTCCAACCCTGTTGCAAATGAATCATGTTCTACCTTGCATCATGGTGCATTAAATGATTCTACCTTGTCAAAATCTGTCTCTATTACGAAAACTGAAAGTGAATCAAAATCAAATGATTCTAAGAACAAAGTTTCATTCAATATATCTAGGAAGCACAGTCCCTTTTTCTCAATTTGTCCAGATTCTTCAGATTCATCTACCCAGCCAATAGTTCTATTAAATAAATTAGATATTAATTCAGAAGAGAAAATAAAAGCTTTAAATAAGATAAATGATATTACCAAAATAAATAATCTTCCTGAATTTTCCAGAAAAAAGGTTTGCAAGAGTGTCATTAAAAAAGTTGTTTCTGTTTCTGACTCTAAAGTAAAATTAGTAGATATGCAACAATCTGGAAGTGATCCCTTATTGAAAGAGTCCACTAAAAAAGAAACTAGTGTTTCCAATGAGCCAAACTTAGTTTCAAGAAAAAAAGAAGTAAAAGTATGTTCTGTAATAGTAAATTCATTAGATATTAAAAGTTTGTGTGACTCATCCAATCCTGCTCAGCCATCTGAAGTTGCTTCAGTGAGGAAGGCTTCTTCAAACTCACCAACTTCTCTGAAACTACCATCCCCAATACCATCTACAGAGACATCAAAGCCAGCTATTGTAACATTTGACTTATCTATGGAAAACAGTCCGGAGAAAATACTTGACATCCCTATGCCATTAGATGATTCCTCAAAACGCTCTTTGATTAAGCCATCAAATTCATCTGTAAATTCAATTAGTGCATCATCTTCAAGCTCTAACATATCTAGCAAAATAGATAGTTCAACTGATAACTCTATCCTTTTACAGTCTAAATTATTACTAAATGAAGCATGTATTAGACCTCAGAATTTCAATGAAAGGAGTGAAGTGACTCACTTATCAAAAGGCATCTCTGATACAACTTTGATCCCTAAACCTTGCCAATCTAATGAATCTTCTAGTAATCTGCCAGAATTTAAAGTACCTCTTCAAAAAGGTATTCTTAAATCTCAGAGTCCAGATTCTGTTAGTCACTCTGTATCATTTAATAACTCTATCTGTAATTCAATATTACCTAAAAAATTTTCTCCTATTGATTTGATATCTGTCAAACAACCAACTCCTGTTTCAGTTCATGAAAATTCAGATATTGAGTTGCCTGATCAAATATCCAACCAGAATAATATCATAACATCTGTGAAGCCATTTGAGTGTACTGCTGTATTGAGTGAGCTGCCTGAACCAATGGATTTTGCAACTGCTGAAACTAATCTTGAGGCAACATTATCCAACAGTTTAAATAATATTACCGATACTGATTTTAAACTTCAACCATTTGTTTATGATCATGAAAATATTATGAAAAGTCCAAATGTTTTGAACCTCTCAAGTACTACTCCAACAAATGATGATCCTTTAACATTAACTTTCAATTCACATTTAAGTGATACTATAGAAAATAAGTTTTCTCTGGCTGAGCTTACTGATATCAAAATTCCGAAACCATTTATATCCAATTCCACGAATTTAGTTTCTCAGAGTAGCTTGAACTCATGTTCAAAAAATAATGATCTTGATATCTTATGCGATGAGGCAATTGAAATTGATAGTTTAATATCAGATTCATCCAACTTTAACAAACTTAATTCGGCTGAAAAATCATCTGATTTAATTACAGATGAGACTTTAATTGGAATTTCAGCTTTGGAGACTTTCAATGATGAATTAAAAGGTTTTGACCCTACTTTGAATGTGGTTAATAATTTGACTGAAAATACATGTGCTTCTTTTCAAACACCTGAACCATGTACATCAACTTCAGTTAATACGTCTATGACAGTAAAACCTTCCATTCCTATATCTCCAACACCATCACATGAGAATGTACCAGTATCTTCCACTCTAGCCCATAGTGTATGTAAATTTTATTTTCTTTTTCTATCAAATTGATTTCAGGGTTATTTAGCTTGATTTCATTATACTTGATTTCAGTGTCATTTAATTATGCTTTGACCCAAAATACAGCTTTTTAAAACAATTTTTTCCTTCAAAAATATGCAAAAGAAATGCATAAATTTTTTATCGGGGTGTATCTTAGTCAACTTTTTCCAATTTTTCATCTCTTGTTCGCAGTAATTTTAACTAATTATTGCTAGAAATATTTCCTTCCATCTGTCATCACATTGTTAACAATTTTTAAGCATTCATTCACAAGTCTATCATAGATTTGGCCATTCAATTGCACCTACAATGAATAAGCTGTATCTTTCAAGTTTATTAAGATTGAATAAAAAATCATTGTAGGAGATTAATATGACCGCAAAAATAAATTCTGAAATAAAGGCTATGTGTAAAATAGCTCATTTTGATTATCTATCAATATAATGGGCACCCTGTGTATATGCATTCTGCGTATGTTGTGTATAAGACATTCTTTGCAGATTCTAAAATCTGTGAAGCTTCTTCACCCAAATTGTGCAGATTTCAGGAAGTCTGCTGCAGTTGGCTGTGTAGCAAATAAATGTGTTTCTAAAGGACATACTGCCATAAGAGAACAAAAATCAATTTTTGGTTAACATTTATTCCTTTATCCAATCTGCATATTTCTGATAATTTACTATTGTTATGTAGCGAGTAAATGCATTTCTAAACGTGAAAGTCTGTAATGATATACTTTAGTCTGTACTTTATGATATACAGTAGGGAACCGATTATCCGGAACGATCGGGACCATCGCTATTCCGGATAACTGATTTTTCCGGTTTTCTGAATCGATACAAAAAGCCGTTTTTTTTTATTGTTAAACCCAACTAAAAAAAAACAAAAATAGTTGGAAATAATCTTAAAAAGAAGAAAAAACAATGAAGTAATACACTGATTATTTCCAAAATGATGGTGAGGTAAACATCTTTCAGAAAAGAAAGAAAAATCCTAAAATCTTATGAGGAAAAAAACATCTTTTTAAAAAAAATGGTGGGAAAATTTATCGAATTTCGTTCCGGCTTTTTGGTTTTCTGATTTCCGGATAACGGGTTCTGTACTGTACTTTAAAAAGAATTCTTTTTTAGTCCCTTTTAAAATACGGTATCAATTTTCTGTTTTTATTCATATTAAAATTCTAACTCTTAAAACACTTTTTGATTTCAGAAGAAAAGAAAACCAACTAAGTTGTTTCTGGAAACTCCTAACAGTCGTATTATTCGAAAATTACAGGTAATAATGTTTATAATTTATTTATTTTTTTAAATTTTAAGTCTATTGTGCAAATCTAATTATATATTAATTATAATATCTACTAATGAGTTAAAACTTCATTTTCATTCTGTTTCAAACTAATATAAATTCCATATTTGTTTTAACAGTATTATATTTTGTTCACTGATTACAATCTTTTCAGTTTTTTTCTTATTTAAGTTTAAGACATCCTGAAGTTACTAATGTAAAGTTTGTTAATTAGTTTGTAGAATATTGTTTTTACTTCTAATGACATTGTGTAAAATTTATCTATCAAACTAATGTTGGAACCAGTTTTTCATGTTTTTGTTTCATACTGTTTTGTACATTTGCTTTAGTTTTTAATTTTTGAAAAACTTTTAATTTGTTTCTCTTCCTTATGCAAGTTCTTTTATTTATTACAAAGCAAAATTTTTCCTCTTAAAAATTCTTACCAATTTTAGAAACTCTTTACAAATCTTGTGTATTATTTACCAGGAGAAATTTTTATATGTTCAAATGAACTTTAATTTAATTTAAAATTAAGTTATTTAAAATTGTTATATGTATATTAAGTATAACCAATTATATCTTTGATAACTGTTGAGGTTATTCTCCTTTTGTAAACCTAATGATTAATAAAGACTGCCTTATGTTTTTTAGCTATTACATGATAGTTTCAAGAGAATTGAAAATAAATGGAGAATGCATGCTTATGAAAAAGCTATAATGGCAGTTAGGAAAAGTAATCGGCCCATTACTACAATAGAGGTATTTTTGAATTTAGTTAAAATATTTGTTTGAGTTATTTATTTTATTAAGCTATTGGAGATATTGCTTTAAATAAAGCTTTATGTTATTTGTTTGTGTTCATATAATCATAGTCAAATTTTAAAATAGTAAGTTGTAAAATTGATTCTAAGAACTCCCAAAGCTGTAAGTGTCTGTTTAGGGCTGTAGCTTCTAAAATCTATACTGTATTATACCAAACAAGCACCCCAACCACACACCCCCCCCCCTCATAATTTCTAACAAATTAGAACAAGCAATTAATATCAAATAAGTGCTGCCTTCCTCTACCCACTCTAGTCAGCAAACATTTTTTTGATTACAACTGTATTGAACTGAAATTGGAACGTCATTGCCTTACTTGATAATAAAGACAAGGTGGAAGGAGAAAGAGGGCAACTGAATGAATTATGAAAAGTAAAAAAAAGGGCTTTGCTTTCTCAGATTTATTCAAGGGTATCTAAAGAAACTGCTATAATGTGAGGGTGCATTGTTTTGCTGTTTTTCATTGTAGTGAAAATAGATTTTTTTCATTGGCAGTTGATAACATAAGATGGAAGTGGAAAAAAAAGGTGAGTGAAAAAAACTCTAAAAAGTGCTTTGCTTTCTTAGAATTATTCAAGGGAAATAAGAAAGAAGTAGTTTAGCTTGAGGGCATAGTAAGATGAAAAAAAAAGTAATAATAAAGTATTAGTGCACACAATCCAAAAGTATCTACATGCTCAAAATATTTTTTGATATCAGAATGATTTTATTACATTACGAAAACGACAAAGGCATTTAACTATTTAAAATTTTTATTTATTCCTGGCAAAATATATCTATACATATATTAGAGGAATATTTATATAAATATGAAATTAAAGATAAATAATACATAAAAATAAAGTTAAAGTTATATTCATGTATCCATAAACATAAGGGGGAACTTTTTGTCATTAGTTTGTCAATAGATTTTGATACTATCCAATCTTTAATGTTGTGCCTGTGTTTCACAAAATGTCCGTCTGTACTTTTGCCTTGTTTGCCAAAGCATTTTGCCGTTGCCTTTGAGCTAATACTGTCACATTTAGTTGGCACTGGCCCATTTACAGAAATCATCAGTTCGTGATGTGTTGTTTCATCACTTAAAGGTCTTCTTTTATTATTTGTGTGCTCATATCTAGATGTCAAAGATTCACACACAAATTTAATTGATAAAGCAATTGAAGCTACGTACATGGAATGCAAAACCAACTCTACATTCTTATTGTGCAATTCTTTGTTGTTTAGAAAGTTTTTAATAATTTCTATGCTAAGTTTTCTAAACTCTTCTTCAGGCATATAGTTTGATAATTCATTTTGCAAGAAAAGTCCTATACTGAGATTCAAGCTCATTGGAAGGAATATCTTTAAACTCATAAGCAAGTTTTTTCGCAGAAGCTATATATTTGTGCATGTGGCCTGCAGCAGTTAGGGAAATACTTTTAAATTTTAATTTTGTTGCCAATAATTTCAGATTTGTAGAATTTTTAAATTGATTTACAATGATGACATCATCTGATGAGAGGACATAGTTCTCAAAATTTTCAGCTATAAATGATGAAAAATTTTCCAGGTCTTTTTTAACTGTGACTTTAACACTTTCTTTATTTAACCTTAGTATTTTTGCTTGACTTTGAGTAAGATTACCTATACCTTCAGTTTCAGGAGTTCTTAGTAAGTTGTATGGTTTTGCACAACCAAACCAGCAGCTAGTTTGAAACTGTAAATTTTACGGAATTTTCTTACAGTGTATTTATACAGTTCGAAAATATATCCTGATTTTTTCTTTTGCCCACTATATAGCCAGTTTTCAAGAGATATTTCTTTTAATTTTAGGACAAATGTAGATCTAGTTTCTTTAATATTTTATCATTCAATTTTATTATCAGGATGTTCAGGCTCTGGGTAGTGGTATTGCCAAAAGGATTGCTGAAAATATACTCGAAATTGTACAAACTGGTCAACTACGTAAAATTAATGAAGTGTGTTCCAAACAGAGAGAAGCTACTATACGCTTATATTCTAAAGTATGGGGAATAGGATCGAAAGTTGCTGAAAATTTATATAAAGAGGTAAGATTCTATGTTCATATATGTCAGCATTCTAAGTTTGGTTATGGTTTATTTTCAATAAAAATTTTAAATGCTTAGTTAGTCTTAATCTTTTAAAATCTAATTATATTTTTGTTTTATAATTTTCATTCCTAAATTTTTGTACATGGCAATACAAGCAGAAAAAGTACTAAGCATTATAAATATTCCTTAATCTAATGGTTTTATTTTCCCTCTAACCCTTGCTATCACTCCCTTACCCATTCATTGTCACAAATAAGTGACAATTTTGAATTGAATATAAAAATATAGGTTAATATTTTAATAATTTATTTTAACAATCTATTCTTTTACTGATGATTAAGAATAGATTGCTATTATTATATTTATTTTGAAACAATTTATTTTTCTATTTAAATATATAAATGTTTTTTTTTATTGTAAAATGCATAGCTGCCAACTGTTCTGAATTTTTAGGATTTGTTCCTAATTTTTAAATCAAATCTGAAAATCTGATATTTTTATAAAATTGCAGTAAATTTACTTTTAAACCAATACCTTATTCTGATTGCTGCAACAGCGCTTTCAGTGTTTATTGTGCTGAAGTAATTTTTAGTAGCTTTTTATTAGAAAATACGTTTCCAATAGCTGTTGCTGATCATTTCACTGAGATGAATCTTTAACAACTATTATTATTTTTTAAAAAATTTATTGTAGTATTTTAACACTTGCATCAGAAATATTTGTTTGTGATGTAGATTATTATTTACCTGCGTTTTATAATTTTGAGAAGAGTAATTATGTATTAATAGGTAATGGTTGTTTTTAAATTGTTATACCGGTATTCCTAATTATAAAATATTAATATTATTAATTTCCCACTAAAGATAGTGTTTCTAGTTTTGTTTTACTAATTTACATACGGTATTTAAATATATGTCTATTAGTGTTATTATTTAATAGTTAAATTTTGGTCTCACTCTCCTAATTTTTGCGTATTATTTTGTCGCATATAGTGTTCCTAATTTTTGATTCCTAAGGTTAGCGGCTATGAAAATGTGATTTTTGCACAAATTTGGCTTCACGTTTTGTCATAGTGTAAGAAGATAACTGTCAGAAATCTAGCATAATTCTTCAAAATTACATTTGTTATGTTAATTGCATCCAGCTAAAAGTATGTCCAGTATTTAATCATACATTTAACAGACATACATACAGGGTATCTATGCACCTGGAAAGTCATGGTATTGTACAAAATTTGTCATGAAATGTCATGATTTAAACTGTTTTTTTTTTTAAAAAAAATCATGGAAAGTCATGGATTTAGATTGCAGAAAAATCTAATTTTTAAAATGGAATTTCAATTTCACAGTATTCCGATGTTCTGAATTTGTTACAGAATCCCCACTCGTAGTCATATTTTATTAAAATATAAAATGTTTTTATCCTGTTTTTAAAAATTATGGTGTTCTTTCAAAAAATGGAAGAAAGAACATCATTTCTAAAGATTATCTCTTAAACTTCTGTGATTTTAGAATTTTTTTATCTATTTATTATTTTTATTTTATCAATTTAAAATTTTAATTTAGGCTTTTTATATAATCATACTATACTTTTAAGAAGAAATAAATCAGGTTTAAGTAACTACATATATCTTACTGTATGTAGTTATTTGCTTTTGTATTTTTTGTAGCTATTTTATTGCTCTGTTTTTAAGTTTAAAATCAATAAATATGAAGATGCAGAGAACAACAGTTTTGGTTATTGACATTCGAGATTGTCGCAGAATATCATTGTATCTGTTTGTTAACAAAACAAATAAAAGAATGAAGTTTCTATGACAATAGATTTATTTTAAAAACATATTCAATTGGTGGACATACTTTCTCAAACAAAGTGACAAATGAGTAACGAAAATAAAGAATGAATAAATGCAAAATAATTTGCTTCAACAGAAGCTTAACAACTCTTTAAATAGATAACGGATGGCGTCATGATCTACGCGAGAACAACCAGCAGCAAATGAAAGGAAACTGGCTGATCCCGCAGACCATGACGTTACCGACTTAAGTTGAATGCATGAGATTAGGAAGAAGAAAATTAGCTTAAATATAAAAAATAGCAATCATAATTTATTGAATGTTTATAAAAACTGTTTAATTTATTATTATATTTATTTTCTTCGGGGAATTTCTGTTTTATATTTAATGTAAAAACTTATGAAAACATTACATTATGAATAACAAACTGTTTTGATAAATAAAGTAAATACAGTCAGACTTCTATTTAGCAAACTTCTATTTTGCAAATTTCTCTATTTTGCAAATTTTTTTTTGAGGAGCCAAGAACACTATGGAAATTTCCTTGTAAAATGAGTAACGAAAGCGAACGATTTGAAATAGCGAAGTGAATTTTCTATTTAGCGAACTTTTTTTTTAAGATCCACTTTCCCTTTACAGCATTTTATAGGGGAAATGCCCTTGAATTAAATTTTCGCTGACACTTATTTTTAGAGAAAGCGGTAAAATCCCTTTTCCTTTTTGTTTGCATTTATTTCAGGAATTCATGCCAAAAATCAATTGAAGAGAAAGCATGACAGAAATTTCAAAAGCATGGAACTATGATGTTACAGATAGTAACATCTTAGATGTTACAGATTTAATTATTCGTAACAGTTTTGCTAAAGCTGGATTCTTAGTCAGCGCGGAGGACAAGGATGATATTCCTTTCGAAGAACTTAAGAAAATTTAGGTACAGCTAAGAAAGAAGCACAGCATTAATGATGATGTGCTGATTAATGATTTTCTATTTATTGATTCTGAGGCAGCAACCATAGAAGCATTAACTGAATCAGATATTTTGGATAGTGCAAAAAATAAAAACAATACAGCAATAAATTGTGAGGAAAACAAGGAAGATGATGAGGGAAATGATGAAGAAGTCACCATCAATCTTAAAATCATTTCAGTTATATAAAATGTTAAAATCATTCGATAATAGATAATAATTTACAAGATAAATGTGTATCAATTTCTATTTTAACTATGCCTTGTGTTTACGAATTTCAAATGGTGTTTTTCTATTTAACGAATTTTCCATATGACGAACTTTTTATCGGGATTTTGCAACTTTGTTAAGTAGATGTCTAACTGTATTAAAAAGGATAAAATAGGCTTTTAATTTTTTCTGCATTAAATTATTAGGTTATGCGTTTTATAATTTTTTTTTTTAATTCACAAAAAAAAAATTTGCAGAAATGTTGCAAAAATACAATTAAAAAGGACACTGGTGAACACAACGTTTTAATACAAAAGTGTTTGAACAGTTTACATTATAATAAACTAAATTTAGTTTTGCTATATATTTAACATTGTAAAACTCTAACACAATGAAAAATTACTGTGTTAATTTTTAAAAATGGTGTTTCTTTTACATGAAAATGTTAGAGTGTCTTCAAGAATTAATTAATAATTATTCTTATTAGTCTTAAATCATTATCAATCTAATTAGTTATTATTTATCTAAAAATTAATCTTAGATAGTTTAACTACATTCTTACTTTATTTGTAGTGTAATTATTAGAGTACCGATATAAAATTTTAAAGAAAGTTATTGGTTCTTTCAGTTTCTTTGTTCACTCTATGCTAAAAAAATTATTGCTTAAAATAGTTTCAGCTTATGGTTAAATACTAGTTTCTAAACCAGCATCTTAATACTAAAAGCCATTCTTGAATATTATAATATTCTTTTTCAGAAAATTGTGTAAAATTAATTTTTGTGCTTTACAGTACATTTAATTATTTTTTAGGGTCATCGTACCATTCGAGATCTTAAATTTAAAGCTAATTTATCTCGTGCTCATTTGATTGCTCTACGATATTTCACTGATTTAAAACGTCAAATACCGAGGCCAGAGGCAGAAAAAATATTGACCACAGTAAGTTTTTTTACGAAACATTTCTTTTTATGACTTCGAAATTGTTTTGTTTACTTTATTCTATAAATACTTATATAAATTATTATATCTTTCTTATAAAATTATTGATAAAAACTTTAATAATACAATATTGTTCCTGAATTTTTTGTGTTAATATTTGTCAGATTCACGAATTGAAGTTTGAAAGATATTGATGTGACTTCATTTCATGTATATTAGTTACATTTGTGGGTTGTTTGGTATCTTTGTTAGAGTCCCCACTTAAACTCTAAAAAGAAATATAACTCTAGAAAAACCTTCCACATGAAAATGTTACCGAGAACGGATTATAGGTTTCTTCATAAATAACACTAAGTTTAAATAAATATCTTTATCAACATTTAGGAAACTTGTAAATTTAACTAAAACATTCTAACATATATAAAACTTAACCACTTTAACATTGAAGCAGCATAGAAAAAAAACTGCTAAAAGGTAACCGGCGAGAACATGCCAGACTGCTAGCTAGAACCGACGGGGAGAGAGAGCAAGCTGTGAGGAGGCGGCCAAGTTACATCCAAAGCATACTGTTCGCGTTTTGCTGATTTCGCCCTTCACGCATATCTCCATTCAGGTATGAGGTTTACGTCAATTATCGGCTGCAAGTGACGTAGTCCAACGTCAGAGATTCGTAGTGCGGACTTTGCATTTCAGACCGCAACGTCACATATTACTCTTAATTCAAATTACCTTCCATCAATTAATATGAAGAGTTGTTCACACATAGTTATGTGAGTTAAGAAATGACAAAAAAAACTTTTTTTTTTTTTGCACAAATTTTCCACTTTTTTAATAATTGATCTCATGAATACATTCTCAAGAAGTTAAAAAAAAAAAAAAAAAAAAAAAAAAAAAAAAAAAAAAAAACATTAATACATTCTCAAAGATATATTTTAACATACGTAGTGTTTCTCAGAAATCCTGCTGCCTTACCTTTTTTACCTAATTTTTTGACTGTTTCAAAATATTCTATTATGTCGTATAACTCACGAATATAAAAACTTTCTTTATTATCATTATCAAAATGACTATCCAGGTCAGAGCCGTTTTTAAGGATGGGCCCAGTGGGCCCTGGCCCAGGGCCCCGAGTTCCGAAGGGGCCCCCGAAAAGTCTGAAATCTCATTGCATTAATTGTTTTTTTTTTTTTTTCTCATTGCATTAATTCTAACTCATTTATTATTTATAACTCAAGAGGGCCCTCAGATCCCATTTTTTTCTTCTTTTTTTAAAGTTTTATTCAGAGATTTATTCAGATTATTTTTTCTTTTTTACAAAGTGGGATGCTTTTCATAATCTAATCGAAGTGTTTACAAGTATAAAATAATTGTTATTCTTCACTTTTCAAACCAAAAGAGCAATAAAACGCTTTTTCCACTCATGAAAATATTCCCACTTTCGTAGCTACCACCCACAGAGTTGTCAAATAGCCTCCTCACTTTACACTGTGAGAAAATGTTTTTAGCTTCTTGATATTGCCCAGGGGCTCTTTTTTCCTAACTTCGGAAATATCAGATATCCACAGAACCACCCTTTTGTTTGATTTCTGGTCATAAATTTTTAAAAAGAAAACATTTCTAAGGCTGTAAATAGGGGGAGGGTCTAGTAAGAATCTGTCTTGAGATTTCCATAGTGTCTTTAAATTGGGACTCGTTCAATTCGAATTTTTCTCTCTTGCAAAATTTAGATATTTTTTTAATTTATTATAAAAGCTTTTTTTGCCTTTAATTATCCTAAATGTTTCAACTAGCCTAATTGTTTAATTTATTTAATTATTGTAGTTGATTTAATTTTGTTATTTTTCAAATCAATCGTAAGAGGAAAATAGGAATAAATAGGATTTCTCTATCAAAAAATTTCTCTATCAAATTTTCGTAGGATATTAAGAAGACATAAATCTTTCACGTTGGAGGTAAGCAAATGTTTCTATTAAATCAATTTTGGTAAATCAATTTAATTTTAGGGAAAACGTGAAAGGTTTACGCAGTTTTTCATGTATACATAGAGATTTTTTTGTTTGTTTATTTAAATGGCGAGCCACTATTCGATTCCCTCTTTGACTGGCCTGTTTGCCAAAACTCTTGATTTGGTCTGTTCTGGATAAAATTGATGCAACAAATGTAATTTTATTTCAATTTTACTTACTGCTAATAGACAGAAACAACATATGATTTGGTTTAATAGAGCAGTGATTCCCAAACTTACGACTTTTGTGTACCCTTTCTAAATTTTTCGTAACGCTGCGTACCACTAATAAAAATTTTTTTTTTTTTTGCTATCAAAAATTGCACAAAAGTTAAAAATCACAACTGCTGTTGACACCAATAATTATTAACTGTTAATTCTGCAAAAAATAGCTAATAGAAAAATATGTATTCGTAAATTTTCATGGCAGGCTTTGTTTTTGAGTGAAATTTTTTGAGATTTTCGTTTATTGCAAGATATTTTGCATAAGAATGCGTACCCCCGCTAAACTGTTCCCGTACCCCTTGGGGTACGCGTACCACAGTTTGGGAAACACTGTAATAGAGGATTGAAATCAAATGATCATCAGCTAAAAAAATGTTTAAACATGAGAAAAAAATTGTTTAAAACTCCTGTATAACCATATTTTCCATGTTTCCCCTAAATATGAAATATGTTTAATTTGTAATATTATATTTCGTACACGAAATTAATTTATTTAGTTGGCTTATGATTTTATTGTATATTGATCATATTTGTTTCTATTTTTAACTCCTTTTTGTTGCTATTATGTGTTTAAAGTTAATAAGTCTTCACAATTTTTTCATTAATAAGGCTTTTAAATTTCCTAATCTAAGTCGAATCAATTTCTTAAAATTATAAATCGAAACTATATATGAAATTTTGACAGCTTTGTTTTTATTTTAAACGTGTGCATTTAATTTAATGAAATAAAAATAAATAAAAAAATGGAAAAAATATAAATAAATGACTGAATAAAATAAAAAAAACTTCGTTGTCGTATCATCTTTTAAATAATTTGAGTATTAATAAATTATTTAAAAATAAGCAAATTTTTAGTTTAAAGGTAAAATTTTTTTTTATTTGTTTGAAAGGTAATTATGCTCCTTCATTCGATCATGAGACTATTTAATATCTGTTCCTAAGGATCAGAATTCTTTTTTATTTTACTTCATTGTAAAAATGATGTATACTGAATACTTTCATGTGATATGCTGCAGTTTTAAATACCTAAAAGATGATTGAAATTGTCAATTCAAAAAACAATTAATACTTTAACAATTAATACGCGAAAAAGTAGTAAAAAAATAACTGTCGCAAACAAATTAATATTAAGTAAGAACGAAGCAAAAATGATATCAAAATATGTTGAATCACTAGTGAGACATGTGGGATGAAAGACATCGAAACCAATATGATTGAATAGTAAAACTAGAAGGTGTTTCTAAAATCCGGAAATCAATCAGGCTTCATTTTTTTTTTTTTTGTCACGAAATTTATCAGGGGCTATTCGTTAGATTTCAATATGGGTTATGTTTTTTCTTAGATCAAATATTAAACATTAACAAATATTTGTCTTTTAAAACCTTTCATTCTATAATAATTATTAATTCTATATTCATTCTATAATAATCTTATAATAATTATTCTATAATTGCAATTCTAAAACTAATTGCTAATTGATATAAAGCTTTAGTGTGTTCCATTGATATATTAAATGTCTTCCATGGGCGGAACCCCGACGTTACGATTAATATTTATTAAGGTAATTACGAATATTATAACCTAAAAACAGACTATTTTTAAAATATTTAATTCGAGGAAAGTAGATTTTTCATCGTTCTATCATTTTCAATCTTAAATAAGGTTTTATATCCGACAGTTAAATTTGCAGTCCTTGTTTTATATCTAGTCTAGTTTTGAATTTATTTTTGGTGCATATACATAAGCTGAAAATGAATAAGATAAGCCGAATTATGGTTTACTTCTAAATAAACTGAAGATACTTGTTATAAACGTTAAAAATGGTAATTTGGAAAGCATTTTTCAAGAATGTCAAGTATCCAAATGACTTAATTTATTAAATTTAAAAATAAAATTTAAAAAATATCCATACGACAGGTGTATATATTTGGGGCTGATGATTATGAAATCTAACACAAAACTGTGAAATCGTGGGTTCTATTCCAGCTAATGACAGTTTTTAATTATTATTTCCTAATGCTGAAAAATGTTTTTCTTATTTTTTTAAATGCGCATGTTTTTAACTAATAATTTAACAATTATTTAAAAAACTGGAAGTCTCCGCTACCTGTTCATTTTGCTCACTAACCCTCGTGGTTGCTTCTGCATTCATTGCAGGTTAAGAGGAAAAACGGTTTGTTTCCTTTTTTTTTCCACAAAAATTACAATTGAATTACCATTTACATTTTGAAGATGATTAAACTTAAGCAAATCAATAAAATTGGTACCAATCAATAAAATTGGAAAATTGGTACCTGGCGCAGAGTTATTACTCAATAAAGTTGGACTCAAGGGATAGAGCATTCTCCTCCGAATGAGGTGCACCGAGTTCGAATCCCAGTGATGGCTGATTGATATGAATTCCACACCCGGCTTTTACCGACCACAGTGCTGAGGTGAAATATCCTTGGTAGTAGGCGGATCACGGATTAGAGTTCCTTTGGTATCAGACTAACCGTGGGAGGATTTCGTGGTTTTCCTCTCCATGTAACTCAAATGCTGGCATGTTCCATCAAAACGTCCTCCACGAAGGCAAAAATTTCTTCCACTACTTGATCCTGGAGTTCTTTTGTCTGCTGGATTGGGTTCAAAATTACAAGGCTACGGAGTTAAACATTAGTAGTAGTAAACTCGAAATCGGGTGGGCTGCTCAATGACTGTTATAAAATAAAATAATAATTTGGCCATGATAGCTTGGTGGATGGTAGGGCTATGGACTCGTGTTCGTGAGAATGGGAGTTCGAATTGAGCCGGGTGAATAATACCCAAGTATAAAATGGTGACTGGTGCATGTTAAATCCGTCGGGGTCATAAACTCCTCCAAGTTCTCTTAACAATTCAATACCTCTGGGTACTGATCCAGGAGTTTCCTTGTCTTCTGGATTGGTTTTAAAATTTCAAGGCTACGTAGTTGAACATTATCTCAAAATTGAGTCAGTCTTTCAACGGCGATTATAAAAAAAAACTAATAATCAAACTGTATTTTCTTATATTTTTTCTTACTCCTTGCATATTTTCTACACACCTTCATAATTTTATGTTTCTAAGTCTAACAGATTTTGATCTGCAAAGCAAAATGTATGTCTTACAGGAAATTGATTTTGATGATGTGATAGAAGAATCGCCTCTCAAAAAGCGCGAAAAGTATTGTTACCTTAAATTTTCGATAAAAATAATGTATATAAACTTTTATAATTAATTTATATGTTTTTTACTCTTAAAATAAAATAATTTTTAAAAATTATTCAAAATAAATTTTTTTTCTCTAAATTTACTCATAAAGGGCCCCCAGATAATGACAGGCCCAGGGCCCCTATAAGCATAAAAACGGCTCTGATCCAGGTTTATATTTTGTATGACTTTTTTTTTTCTTCTTTAATTTCATTTGCTCACTATCAATGTGTGTTATAATATTTTCATTTAAAAAAAAGTTAAATTGCTTAAAAGCTGAATAAATTTTTTTTTTTAAAAAAGTAATGGTTTAGGAAACTTATAAGATAAAAACCATAATAGGTTGCATATAATAAGTTTTAATTTTCTTTTAACAGATAATTACACAGCGCTGCATGAAAAAAGTTCTAATACTGCATTATCTCTGTTTTCCCCCAGACATCTTGTCCCTATATTTTATAACTTTTTGATAATTTTATGACAATTTGATTTGGAAAGGGAATTAAATTATTTTGTTTTAACTGTTGAATTTCTAATGAGAGTCTAGAACTAGATAGATTAGAAGTTTTGAAATATGAACGGATTTTTGGGGTATTTATTAACTATAGGTGCTTAAAATTTTTTAAAAAAAAAAACATTAAAAATTATAATTTCCCTGATTTTTTCAAGCTTATTTTCTATTTGTCCTGGCTTTTTGCTCCTCTTTTTCCTCCTGAAATTTTTCCCTTGTACAAAAAATATTTATTTACAATTTTGTTTTAAATGTCGAGAGAAGGTAAGTTCAGAAGCCCAATGTGGTGAATTGCACAAGCTTTTTTCTTCCAATTCTTAACATTTCCGACCATGTTCCAAAAATGTACATTTTGGAATTATTAAAGGAGCCTCCTCCCCTATGACTGCCAAAACCCAAGTCACCCAAACTCTAACCGGACTTACAAGTTTTTTTCCTCTGCAGTAGCCTCTCGAGAAAGAATGATCCTCATGAGAAAATGGGTGGAGCTTCGGCAGGTGCGCCATTGCCTTGACAACCGCAACTTCCGCTACAGAGCGGAAAGGTTGACTTCTCTAAGTTCAAGGCAGTTTAATTTAGAGCCCCGATATTTGATCCGTGGTTTTCCTCCTTGGTGCGACGCATATTGAATTTGCGCATGTGTTCATTATAGTTCTCTAGGCTCAGCTCCTTCTTATCCTTGATCATCCCAGCGTATTATCTGTGCACATGTTTGTTTTTCGTTTGCTTGTGTCCTTTTCTTTTGTAGCATCGCGCATAGCTGCCATCTGTTCCAAATAAATTATATTTTTTCTATTTTTTAACCTTGCTCTGAAAATTTGATTTTAGGTCATACGATTCTGATTTTTTAGTATACTCTTTTTTACTCCTTATGCTGATTTTCTTTCAATCCAGGTCGGGTCTAAGAACTAAGAGCAGAACGGAATTTTTCCCCGAATATTGCAGAATTCCACTCATCTCAAAACTGTTGGTTTGCAGACTTTCTCGAATCAAAAGCTTGTAATATAACAAAATTTTTAAACTTATGCTTAATCTCTTTAACTAGACATTTAGATACATGTGATTCTTCTGCCAATGTTTCTTATTCAGGCGATTTTAATATGAACCATCGATCCTAGAAGAGATCGGAATCTCCGGGAGATCGAAATCTCCCGGCAGAGCTAGAAGTTGTGTTTTTACATATCTCATTGATATCACAGTATTATATAGAACACTACCTCCTCCCAGTGATAACGTTATATTACTTCAGCTTTTTTTTTATTTTTGTCCACCTTCATGCCTGTTTCTTAAAAAATTTACCATCGGCTCTAAGAATCTAGCAAAGTAATAAATTCTATTATCTATATATATAATAGTTTTGGCAAGGTGGAAGATTTAAGGGATATTTGCTTCCGCTATTTGTAAAAAAATATCATTAAAATTCAAAATCTCTGGAGTTTTTTTCTTTTGGAGGGGGGCAATTTTTTTTAACTTATTTTCTACTTATTACAGTTTTTACCCCCCGTTTTCTGGACCAAACAACCCCAGGACAATCTGAATATTTAGCAATTTTGACAGAAAGTAAATGAGGTATAATAGACCTTGAAGCTTGCAAGAAAGTCTTGAATGTGAAGCTTCCTGTGCAAGGGCTTCCTGATCTCTTCACCTTTACCAAAATTGTCGCTAAATATTAATATGAGAATGATATTTGCTCCCTTAATTTGTAAAAATGAAAATATATCATTTAAATTAATATTTTTTCTGGGTTCTTTTTTTCTGCAATTTTTATGTTGTATTTTCTACTTATTCCAGCTTCTAACCTTTTTTTTTTTTTTTTTTTTTTTTTTTTTTTTTTTGACTAAACCTCCTCCAAATAATCAAAATATTTACGAGAATTTTGTGCAGAAGGTAGGTGAAGAGTGATAAATCATGAAGCTCTTGCAAGAAAGTTTTGTATGAGGGCTTCCTGACTTCTTCACCTGTACCAAAATTGTAGCGAAAAAATTATTTTTGATTTTATAAGGAAGATAAATAAAGGGCTGGAGGAATATGTTTAAAATAAATTGTTTAAAAATTATGAAGAATTTTGTTCAAAACATTTTATAAAATTATTTTTAATCTTTTTTTTATGCAATATGAGGAGAAAAATACTCCCAGAAAATCCCTCCTTGATATAACTATTCATGTTTTAGAACTGTTTCCCTCTGTAGACCCTTAGATGAAATTAAACAATTCAGATGGTCATGTTAGGTAAGAATCAGTAGGAATGGTGATTATGATTTAGAAAAACTTTTTTGCTGGGAATTGTTATTAGTATTTAAGATTTTACCTCCCTATATTCTATCAACGAACTTGATCTAAAAAATTAATTACTATCGCGTTAAACACCCAGTAACACTATTTCTAAATTATTTTATTGAAAAAGCATCTGTATCATTTAGAAAAATTTTAAGTGTGATTTACAATCTCAGCTTATTCTAAATAAATCCTATTAAATCAGAATGATTCTTCTGTATTGTGTGCTGAAAATTTTTAATATTGAATTAGCTGATTATAATCTTTTTCTTTCTAGATTTTAAAAAGAATATTTAGTCCATTTCCATACGTGCAGTGTGATGCATGTTCATCCCTTCGTAGAAATAAGTTATCAACAGGACATATTGACTTACTTTTAACTCTGCCTGAAGGGCATGAAAATGATCATAAAATTTTGCCAGAAATTGTTGCTAAGCTTCATCAAGATGGTAACAACAACCTTTTTTTAAAAAGAAAAAAAATTTACTTTGTACTTGTACAATTAAAACCAATTTGTGTAACTGAGAGTACATTAACAGTCAATCAACCTTCCTATTAATTTCCAACTGCCTCTTTCAGCTTAAATATCATATTTTGGGGTTCTCTTTGTTGTCTTTTAATGTCTTATATGAATACCTCATTTATATAATGAGCAATATTCTACCTATAAGTTTTCAAAAATATTTTTTTCTTAAACAAGCTTATTAAATTTTTAAAGATACTTGCTATTTTGCAAATATAAAGAAGTCTCATTTAGCTTCACAAGGGAAAAACAATTTTTTTAATAAAATTTTGATAAATTTTTGAAATTTTTTTTATTAAAATATTTGAGAACTTAAAAACTTTTTCATTGGAATTTACATTTATTTTTGTAAAGATTTTTTTCATTTTTATTTTTGTAAAAAATAAGACTGTTGTATACAATTTGCTTAAAATAGTAGACATATTTATATTTGAAGATATTTATTATTAATAACTTAGTTGACATCATCTAGTTACATCTCTTAAATGTCACCTGTTGGTAATTTCCCTAATGCATAGTACTTCCTGTATTTACTTTTTCTAGCTTGCATTTATAATTTTACATAAGTGTAATGCATGTAAATGCAAAATCCACAGCCATTAGGTATATTAATAATATTTTTTTTTCACTTAAGACTTCCTTAGTTTCCAGCAACATTTATGTTCATTTTGTATTTGGTACAATACATCTGCCATACATTCTAAGCCTATCAACTATGTGTCAGTTTTTTACACTAATATGACAGGACTTGAACTCATAATATATTAAATAGTTAAGTAGAATGAATACTTAGTTATTTTTTTAGCCTTAAAATATAAATAACGCGCACTTTAGGTTTAAGCCTTTAAGATTACTCTGGACAAAGTATCCAATTTATAATTCTCAAAGACATCAACCAAATTACCCTTATTAAGTACATACATGTACTAATGCCCAAATCCATTTTTATACCATGTCATCTGGGTAGTATCAGTTCCTAATTTAGATGCACAGATTGAGTGATCCTGCCAGTAGCTTAACTACAATAAACATTTCTTTCAGAATCAACAGCACCCACAAACCTCACCAATATCATAAGATGAGAACATCATTGAATGATTTCAAATAATATTAACTTCAGTTTTAGTTTCTATACATTAAAAGTATTGTATTAATGGTGCATTATTCATTTACATCTAATTTTAGGACATTATCTATTGGTCACTTTTATATAGTTTATATCTACTAAAATATGCCACTTCCACTATTTAACATCCAGTCATACCATTTTTGTGTAATTTATGTCTTTTTAAACGTTGCTTTGCCGCTATTTATGATAATCACAAAATTGCACTGCTTATCCACAAAGAGATAATGCTTATATGTCACACTAATTTTTATATTTATTATTTTCTCTCAAAAAAGTGTATTTCATTGACATTATAAGATCTTTCAAGGTTCAAAGAATTTTTTTTTACAAGGATGCCTTATAGAAGTTTTCTGAATTAAACCTATATGAGACTGTATACTAAAAAAAATCGTTACCTAAACTTTAACGCATGCAATTGATCAAATGAAACATATTACTATTTTTGAATGAAAATTTTCTGTTTCTATCTTTAGCTGCAACAGTGTTTTTGGATACGTTTATAATCCTTACATATTGCAATGTTTCTCAATGTATCATGTTTTTGTGTCTGTTTTGTCACTTTCAGAAGAAAAGCACTTCCACATTTTATAGCTCTAAAAGACTTTCCATACTCGTGTAATGATGTTAGAAACATACTGATAAATAAATTTTAAATTTTACTGTAAGAAGTTTATTAGTAATTTCTATCGTGAGAATTCTTCATTTTAATCCTGAAGAAATGTAATTTTAACAAATAAATCCTTTTATTATCCTCTCTTTAATGCATTCTACTGTATAAATATCAAAGTATTTTATAATTTAATTAAAATTATCAAATTCTTGTTGAAATTCCTTTTTTAATGAATCTGTTGCTTTTTTTCCCTTCTTTTAAATATTAGGTTACCTCATTGATGACCTCATAAGACACGAGGAAAATGGTGCTCAAACAAAATATGTTGGAATATTTAAGCTTAAAACTGATGGAGCTAAGGTAATTTATGAAATAGTTTTTTGAATGCTATTATTTTTTGTTGATTTCATTTGCAATTTTTTATCAAAACCTTAATTACAATAATTATTTATTTTTTTAAGCTTCAAAATTTATATTTTATTATTTCAGCATAGACGACTAGACATAACAGTTTGTACCAAAGATGAGCAGGCTTGTGCTTTATTGAAATTGACTGGACCTACCTACTTTAATAAAGCTATCAGACAGATAGCCAAAAAACGAAACATGATTTTGGATGAACATTCCTTAAGAGTAAAAGTTATAAACCCAGTAAGTATAGCTCTTAAAACATTGAAAAAATAACATTTATTGAATATTGGAAGTTAAAAATTTTGCTAAATATATTTATTTTAAAATAAAATTAAACATTTCATTTCTTTTTATATTTGCTTTACTTTAAGTTTGTCCATTAGTTTCTATAGTTTATTAAGTTAGCAATTTTTATTCAAGGGAACTTTTTAACTGTTGCAAGCAACAAATGCAATTTATTTTTTCTTGGATCAAGATTGATTTTTTAGTCTCTTGGCTTGAATTAGCATTTTTTACCAATTGTTTATATTTAACGTGAAATCATCCTGATTTTTTAATCTTTTTGTCATCTCTTTTTCTTTTTTTAATGTCATCTTTAAATTATAAAAATAACACAGACTTTTTAGGCTAAAAGTTCAACCTCTAAATATTGAAAAAAATTTCTTTTTTAAGGTAAAAATTTTTGCTCTTAAATGTAAAAAGTTTGTCTGCTTATTGAATTCAAATTTCACTTATTTTTTAATAACATAGTGATTATCCTACCATAAAATGAAATATATCTAACAGGTTCTATATCTTCAAATATATTATATGAATATTATTTAAGACTCTTACTTCTGTGAATTGAGAAATCGTGACATGGTGCTCTGAAAAACATGGGAAGAATCTTAATTAAACTAAACTTTCTGGAAATTAGATTGCTAATTTTTTCAAGCAAAGGTAGATTGTATACATTTAAACTAATCACTCTTAATTCCTATGTATGAAAACATTAGTTAATATAAGTAAACTTAACAGGAGAATGCTCTAATTTGAATTTTAAGATGTGAATAAATAGCATTGCAAATAATTGTGATGAAGTAAAATATTTTAACAATGCTCAATCCTTCCAATTCTCTATCATCTTCAATTAAAATTTTTTTCTAAGTACAGTTCACTGAAAATTCTTTTTTGTAATTCTATAATATAAATACAAATTATTATATATCTAAAAATTTAGGCTTAAAACAAAAATTACTCACCATATTGAAATCTTCTCTGTTATTTACCAACTACTTATTGCATTTGTTCTAATTTTTTTATAATTATATATCTAGATTAGTGGATTCATCATTTATTTTTGTAAAAAAAAATTTATTACGTTCTTATGGAGAATTTACTATGTAACTTCTAAGACATCTTAAGCAATGTTAAGTATGGAGTATGTCAAGTTTTGTACTTGAATAGTAGTAGTAGATGAAAAGATTTTTAAAAAATTTGTTTTTAAATTATTTTTGAGCTAAACTTCTGTTCATTCACACTTTACTAAATTTTTTTCCGCTATTTATTAGATTATTTCTAAAAATTTAAAATTTGAATTTTTTTAAATTTTGTTTCCTTTTTTAAATTTAAAATCTAATTTTTTTTTTTTTTGAATATTTATGTTTATCAGTTTGATAGGCTTCTGTTACGTTATAAAGATAGAAAAATAAATTTTTCAGAACAATTAGTCCTCTTTACTGGCGATGCCCTTGAACATAGTGATCTTTCCTTTTATAGTACTTTTAATATTTCATATACAGTGCAGAGTCTCATATCCGGACGTTTGTTTACTGAAAGGGTCTATTTTCCGAACACTTTTTAACAATCAAAATACGCAAAACCCTTTTCAAAAAAGAACATTTTCTCACACTTGTGTCTTATTTAAAAAAAAAAAAAAAAGTATACAGGGATAAGAATCCTCCACTTTTTTGCTAATTTCCGCTTTATGAGTTTTACCCAATATCCTGTTTTTGTTTCAATTTTAATCTGATTTTTGCTATAATATGAAACAAAAAGTTGAATGTTATGTAAATGAAAGCCGACATTTTGCTACAGAGCGAAAAATTTGGCATTTTTTCACACATCTCACATAAAAGGATTACTACCGCCAGGAACCATGCACTTATTACAATTTCAGACTGCACAAGAATTTCACATTTTGAAAAAATTGCAGAAGGCAAAATTGTCATGACTAAAGTGAGTCATTAAGTGATTACTCAAGAGCATGATTTGGAATTCACAGATTGTGATGATATATTGAAAGCCGAGTGAAAATCCCAAAACGTTGGAAATGTAATCAACAAAATGACATGGGCAATAAAATTGAATGCATGAACCACAAATCAAGTTCACCGAAAAGTAATTCTACAAATGCGCGATTCGAAATTTCTCATGTATGATTTTGGAGCATTAAGAAAACAATTAAAATCTTTAGCGATAACTGACAAGAATGTGATGATAAATCCACAAGAGATTGCGGTTCAATCGTAAATAGTTGAGTTTGAAACGTTTGATTCAAAGTTTGCCGAATATGGCATTAAAAGAGATTTTAAATACCATGGAAAAATTCGTTTTAATAACTACTGAAAAAAACAATCTTCAAAGCCACGCGGATTCACTGAGGAATAATCGCTAAACTAGTGGATCAAGAAATTATTACCAGTTGAAGTGCGCGATTCAGAATTTGCGATATGTTGTAATAGCATATTAAAATATCGAGATTTTGAAAACAATGTGGAAATCTGTAACAAAAGCTGTGTAACTTGATCAACCTTGCGAGCCACATGGATTTATTTGTTGTTGATTGAAATTGACATTATTTATCGTGTATTTGTTATTTTATATTGAATAACTCCAAATGTGGTCTTCCCACTGTAACTTACTTTGTAACATTATTTCCTTTTGTTTGGGTACATAATAATGTACTGAATATTTATGACTAAAATAATTAAAATAGATACATATAATCATTACAAACTAATCACTCTAAATAGCTGAAGTCATAGTTTTTTTTTTAATTTTAATTTTTTCAGGCATAAAAATGAAGACCAATCTACATAGCATTTTTATATAGATTTATGAAAATGAAGACCAAGTATCTCCATTAGATATCAAATGAAGTATAAATTAATTTAAATTTAAAAAAAAGAACTTTAAAAATGTATTATTCAGAATTATTCTTATCAGAAGAAGTCTTTCTTTATTATTTTTATGCACTAGCTGCATATTTAATAAGTTGTAAAAGTGCTCATATTTAAATAAACACAAAACTAAAACTATATAATTGAAATTTGTTTATTAAACAACAAACTATTTTTCATGCAGCTAATGGAAAGTTATAATTTAAACACTTTTTTCTTTATTCATTTATTAGTCTATTTTCAACACAAAATAATAATACTTTAAATTTATTCTCCTTTTAATAGTTTTCTGAATAAAATCTTCGATATCGTAGGAAACTAACTTTTTAAAAAAATCACAACCCTATGTATGCATTTATAAATTAGTCTGTATAAAAAAATATTTTTTTTTATAAATCAATGGTCAGAATAAAATCAAAAGATTTAAACCACAATTTTTGATTCATGATTTAAAACACGCCAACCATGCTTAAAAGTTGAAAGTTTTTAATAAAAAATTTTTGATTGTTTAGAAATGCTATAAATATGTATAACATTTTTATATAGTGAAATAATAAAAAAATAACTAGTTGAGCCTATGCAAGAAAAATATCAAGCTTCTAACTTTTATATTAGAACTAAGTATTTCCTGTAATTTTATGAAAAAGCTAAACACTCTATTAAGGTTCAACGTTAACTGAAGTTTGAAGTATAAAAAATAAATAAAATTTATTGAATTTTTTAGTAAAAAAAAAAAAAAAAGATTCAGTTAAAGCAGACTTCAAAAAAAATTTAAAGCAAAACATTTGTGTTTAGCATATCCATCCACATTCTATTTTATTCTTCCTTACAGTTTTTTAAATACTTAAATGATGAATTATTAAAATTTTTAGGATGGTATACAAATGGAAAAACGGTTGGATACTCCAAACGAAGATGCTGTATTTCAGTGCCTAGGTTTACCATTCAGAAGTCCGGTCCTTCGTGATCCTGATAAATCAAAATGAGAAAACTTTCATAATAATTTTTTCTATAGTTTTATTTATACACTTTTACTTATGTTAGAACTAAGCATTAAAATTATATCTATACCTTATTTATTACTTGTTGTTTTTGTTATAATTTTACTTTATGCCATGATTTATTGATGTTATAATTCTTATCAAAAAGCAATTAAATATTTAGATATGTGTGTGTGTTTTCTATTGAGATATTTATTATTTGTTTTTTTTATTATTATTTCCCTGTTTAAAATCATATGATTACATTGTAATTTTCAATGCCACTCCTATACAGAATGGTATAAGTCTTTTTTGATGTTCTGATTTCTTTTTATTAATTTTAATATTGATTTGCTTTTATTGCATTTTATGTTGCGTCATTAAAAACGAATTTTTAAATTCTTTAATACAACTATTATGCAATTGAATTTGTTTACAGATTATGTTTGAAATAAGAAAGCATTTACTTAACAATATAAGTTAAAATATTGTAAATAGTATTTCAGAAACATTTCCATTTATATGTTTAACTATTTATATCTGCTAAATATATAGTTGCTACTTCATATAGTATAATTCGCATAAGTAAAAATGAACAATTTATATATTTAACAAATTTAAAAAATGTAAATAAAAGGATTTCATACATTGAAACTAATGAAATTTTGGCATAATAAATTCAAAAGTGTTGATTATGTTTATAAAATTAGAAATTGTTTTTTAAGGTGTAAACTATTGTAATTTATGAAATTATCGCAATTTTTTAAATTATAATATCTTTGATATTTTATCTAATCAGTTTGTAAATATATCCTTTAATTATTTCCCTTCTTTTATTTAGTAATATTTTAAAAATAAATTTTTTTTCTTTATATATCAAAAATTTTTAAACCTTCTAAATTTCCTTAAAAAGGAAAAAAAAAACAATTTTTACAAAATTTAGCTCTTAAGAAAAAGAAGCCATTATAAATTTATGCTACAAATTTCAAATTGACACTTAAAGTGAAACATTTTAGAATGTTATGGTTTTAATTCAGAATATGAATAGCATCTATCATAAAGATACCTATATATTAACTAATCATTTGTATATGGAATATACACAAATGATGCATCATCTAGCTATACTTGTATGGCATAGTCATTTTCTAAAATGCCATATAATGTTTTTTTTTTCTTTCCCCTTTAAGGTTAATTTGATTTAACCTCTTCAGATATTTATAAATGCATGTATGTTTACTTGTATTCTAAAAATCGTTTGTTACTAAATACATAAAAAATTAAACTCATCTACTCAGAAGCAGAACCTCTGTATTGTTCTGCAGCACTGTAGAAAATTTCTAAATTTTACCGCAAAGAATGCTGTAAAATATTTGTATTTACAAATTTTAAAAAGACATCTAATTCTAAACTAATGATTCAGTAACTGTGCCTCTAAAAGAAAATATTTAAAATGAATTAACTGAAACTTAAGTAAAATAAGGGGAAAACTTAGCTTATGAAGATGAAAGACAAGTTTTTAATGGAGGGTTTCAATTTCTTTTAATAGGGGAACCGATTTTTTTTAATTTCAAATTATTTTTGTCTTTTTAAATGTTCGATTAATTTCTATCAGCAAGGCCAGAATAAATCTGTGGGCTGATGTATTAATACAAAACTTTAAAAAAAAATTTTTTGAAGAGATCATAGTTAATTTGCTTTTTTCTCACAAATGTGGTAGTATAATGGTATAATATAATATATATTTATTCACCTATCATCAGTATATGCAGAATATACAAAAGATGTATTATCTGTACTTACTTATATAGTCAGTTTATAAAACGTCATGAAATGACTTTTCATTTTAAATTAATCTCATTTAAACTCCACAGAGATTCGTGTAATTTTTTGTTCATTGATTGAATTGAAACTGGCTACATAAAAAAAATTCCTTTTATTAAAACAAACCTTACTTTAAAGACAAGAGAAAAGAAACCACAATTCACTAGCTCTAATTAAGTATCATGCTTAATGAATTCTGTAGGTTACATCTACACTTAGTTGTATTGATTGGTTACTATTACTGATTGCACTAATACTCTGAAATAGAATAAGTTCTTAGACTTTTTTAACAATATTTCAAACCTTAATAACAAAATTGGAAACTATTATTTATTTATTTGCTAGTGTTATAAGTAATATGCTCTTATCTTAAATATTTTTATAAAATTTATCTTAGCTTATTCTAACAAAAGTGTTTAAATATAAAGTTAAACTATTTTAAACAATTTTATTGGCTTAATAAGTCTATTGCTTATGTTAATAAAAATTTTAGTTTAAAATATACTCATCTTTCAAAAACTTAAATCAAATAGGACATTGTCCTCTTACAAGTTTAACTTGCCTATAGTTTCTGTAATGATTAATAATAATTTTTAAATATAATAATAACTGATTAATTGTTTTTAACTTAAGAATTTTTTAATTTATAAAATATATTGTCATTTAAGGTATTATAACAGCATCAACTGTGAAAGGCTGACAACTTCATTGTTTTGCAAAGTAAGCTCATAAATTGTTTAAAGAATATTCTGTGACGTTTCAATATTCAGGGCAATAGTTTGATTTCTTCCTTCACAATTAATGGTATTAGCTTTACCTTTTATGTTTTTAACTTTCATTTAAACATCTTTAACAATAGATACTAATTGCGCAAACCAGGATTGATAAGTTTTTCACACTTTTAACCATGGATAAAGCCCTTACTTAAAAAGCCTAAAAGGTTTTTTTTTAGGTATTGGTATCAATATTATTCATATCTTAAATAGCACGTTGCATGTAATGTTTAATGTTGGAAATTAATTATAGCTTTGCTTATACAAATTTAAATATGTTGGGGAAAGATTTTTTAAATGCTTTTGTTACATAAATATACTTGAAATATTGACCACCATATGCTAATAAAAGACCTGTTGGAAGCTCTACAGTTGTAAAGTCAGTTACTAGTAGGCATTACATGATTAGAGAGAGTTATTTAAACATTTTAGTAGTTATTTATGCCTTCATTCCCTCTGAGAAAAAATCGAGCATTATATGAAAATTTTAAGTTAAATTAGCAGGTGTGCGAATTGCTCCGTAATATATGTTATTTTAGTTTATCAAAAATTGCAAATTAAATCATCAAAATAAAATATTCCTTTACTGAATTCCTTGAGAAGATAAGAGCTCTGAAAAAAAATAAAATTTTAAGATAAAATTAAAATTTTTCTTCTGCTAAAAACTGTATTTTCTTCTTTAATATAATTATTGTCTGTATGTAATAATGTGTATTTTGGTATATATTTTAAACTAGTGTTTCAAACATATTATGAAAAACTTACTATCAGCTACTATCTTGACTATCAGCTTAGGTTTTTGATAATTTTAACCAATTTTTGACAGTTTAAAAAAAATTTTGACATTAAAAACTCAACCCTGTACATAATGCATGTGATTACAAAAGCAAATGATATCAAAATGTCTTGTCACCTATACCAGTGTTTCTCAACCAGATTTACTCTAAGAATGGGTAAAATATTTCTGAATTTTATCGTGGACCAATAGTATTAGCAATTTGTACTATTGGCATAATTTTTACATAGTGACAATTTTTTGACCAGCTTGTTTCTGATCTTTCACATACTCTCTATAATGAAAAATATTTTGAGTAAACATATTTAAATATTAAAGTAAGTGCATTAATTCTAATACAAATAATAATTTTTCTGTATTCAAATAACAAAATGCCAAAGCCACATTGTGTAGCCATTTGTAGAATAAAGAATAAGAATAAATAGAATATAAGAAATAAATAGAAATAATAAACATTCACAAAATACACAAATGAATTTAATGTCATTGCTGTTGTTTGTTGACTAAAATTCCAATTCTAAGTATCAAAATAGTTACTGCAACACGTAGCAAAATCAAGTTGTGATAACACTCTGAACCAAAAACATATTTTCACATGAATAAGCTGAAGTAAAAGGCTATTAGATCTAAACAGCAGCTTATAGAGTTAGAAGCGTGTGCTTTCACAAAATATAGTAGTAACGTCTGATTTGATATTTATTAAAGAGTAACTGAAAGAAAAATCAAATTAAAGTAGAGTCGTTTTTATCCTTCTGCTAATAAGTATGGAAAAAAAGGTTATGATTGTATTCTATATTGAATAAAATAACAAATTTAAGGTAATAGTATTTGCAAACCTATGAATTGTGTTTGAAGACTGGTTTTTGAGAAACAGTGACCTATATCTTTAGAAAGTTTTGGTGTTACTCTTTTTTCACTTACTAACTCTACATGTAATGACCTATGGAGGCCATTTAGCTAAAATTTCAAAGGAAAATGCAATAAATGTTCATCCCCTTTATTGTAGGATGACCTATTGTTGTTCAAAGCATAAAATATTTAGACGTATTTATAAGAAAATGTGATAAAATGATTAAATATGAAATAAGTAAGAATTGAATTAATTCAAGAAAAAACATTAGAGATCTAATCGAATAATCCAATTATAGCAGTATTAGATTTAAATTTTTGTGAATTAACTTATTTGGTAAATGTAAGAGAGACTGGGTAGTAGGGTGAGACAGAATACCTCGATTGTGTCAAAACTAGTTCTGTTTTCTAGCAAACAAACGCTGAATTACTCTTCACTTATCAAGAAGAAGGACCTACCTTATTTGTGTATTCGTTATGCTTTGTAAACTCTCTAATGTTTTTCAGTAATTAATTTATTGGCCATATTATAGTTACTGAAATTATGAACATAATTTTAGTCCAGCTTATTATACCTTTACTAAAGATTCATTCCTTAATAAACAATATGGATTTTGTTCAATAATAGCACTGTTCAGTTATGTTTAAATTACCTCTGTTCTTGATGTAAGTCTATGCTAGGCGCACGAAAGCTGCTTTGCAGTGGAGGAAGAAGATAATTACATCAAAGATTTAAAAAAATTTGCAGGCCCCAGGACAAAATTTATTGTAGGCTCCTTTCTGAGAGCAGAAAAAGCCTATTTTCATATTTTGTAGAATATTTGAAGACCCTCTATAAAAATTTGTAGTTTTTATACAAATATTAAAAAATTGTCTTCAATTTTCTTTAAAAAAAAAGTGTACTATTCTCCCCCTTGTGTTCAGGTTTGACTGAATTACATGCATAATT